CAAACCCGACTTTGTTTTATATGTTTTATATTTAGATATTATAGATATTTTTGTAATCATTCTTTAGAAAATTGATGTCAACATGCATGACGTATATTACCCTAAAAAGATTGGAAGATAACAAAACAAAACAAACAGTGACGGTAACTGCTCTTTTGTAAAATTTTGATGAGCCTATTAAAACAATGGCAATTATGCGTACAGACCGCATCTGCGGTGGCGTAACATACGCTAAACTTTCAATAAATTAATTAAACGTCTTGTTTGTCTGTCGTATTCATACTGACTCATTCATCAGACGTATGTTGGTATAATTGGTGATTTATTTTTAGGAGAAAAGGTTTTATGATTAAAATGATTTTTTGTTTAAATATTACTTACCATTGATTTTTTTTAATCTTTTTTATATGTACCCTAAAATAAATATTGTACCTTATTGTAATTAATAATCTAAATTTGATTTTAAATTAAAAAATTAAGTATTACAGCTATGAAATATTTTTATTGGTATTATTGTTTTGATGATTATTGACAAAAATAAAATATCAAGTTTTTATTTGTATATCAAGTTTTGATTTATATGTTTGTGATATAATTATGATTATATAGCGACTCACCCTAGCTCCGTTCGGGTTCGTCCCTAGATACGTTTTAACGTTTAGTATAGATTTCTCAGAGATGAGATATTTTTCCGCAGTAAAAAGTATCCTATATGTTGACCCGGATAACCAGCTATCATCATATCAAATTTCATCAAAATCTGTCCAGTGGTTTTTTCGTGATGCGGTAACAGACAGACAGACAGACAAAAATTCTAAAAACTATAGATTCGGCCTCTGTATCGATAATAATGACTATTTCAATAAGATTTTCCAAAAAAAATTAATGTTCAGATTCGACTCAAAGTTTTAGAATATGTATAGATTTTGATTGAAAGAAGTAATTTACTCTACAAAAATTAGGGATGATTCTTTTTGTAATATAATAATTTTAATCGATCGAGACGTGAAACCTCGACCGTAAACACTAAGGGTTACATATGTATGTACATCTCTCAATGAATTAGCAATTTACAACTCAAATGCTTAGTTTACTAACAGATAGTGTAACTTGCAAAAAAACAAATTCCTTTTATCTTTTTAATAAATACGTATTGCGGAATCACATAAGAGATTTTTTTCGACGGTATCATTTTATATTGGTTTATAATTGGGTTATCCTAATGCCTATTCCGATACTAAGTCATAATCGATTATTATTATTTATATATTACTATAATTTTCTTTTTTTATTCTCCTTCATGCCTAAATGTTAAAAAAATAAAAACTAACAAAGCATTCGATGGATACATTCAAATTTGTAATATTAATAAGTATATATTTATTTTATTAAACCTCTAAATAATCCAACACGTACCTACTATTAAATAAGAGATAGCTTATAGCGAACTAGAGAGTGACGTAAAATGCGTTTAATCCCGATTCCTTGAGTGATTCGTGAGATGTAAATCTAAACAAGTGATAAATTAGAAATTAAAATAAAAACCCCGACCACCTTGGACCGATCTTCATCAAACATAGCTAAGAACACTCCCGACTACCACCTTTCAAATAAAAACAAACAAAATCAAAATCGGTTCATCCGTTCGGGAGCTACGATGCCACAGATAGACGAACACACAGACATGTCAAACTTATAACACCCCTTTGTTTTTGCGTCGGAAGTTAAAAATAGGGTCCTCAGTACACGCCTGAACAATGGCTAGTCGGCTCACCTCAAATCTATAGTACCAATTTATTATCTGTAAGTAATCAATCAATTATCGCTAATAATCTGTTATTATGCACATAATTTATCTTTTTTAATATTTTTAAATGTTATGCAACTTGCTTTTGTTATGCAAATAATTTGCCGCCACATAAAACTAAAGTAATTAAAACGGAGCCATAACATACAATCATTCAATATACTAAAGTTATAAATGTGAAAGTGTATGTTTTTTATTCCTGAATTAAGACGTATTAACTGCCTCGCTGGTGTAGTGGCTAGACGTACTTGGCTGCACATATGGAGATTCAGGTTCGAGTCCCTGGTCGAGTGAAGTTTAGTAAATGGGTATTTCTATTAAGAAAGTTACAGTAACAACCCGGAGTTGGGAAGTTGGCGTTGTTTCACCCTCGTGCCTCGGAGAGCACGTAAAGACGTCGGTTTTGCGCCTGATCTCTCACGGGTCGTGTCCAATTATCGTCCTATCGGAATACAAGAGTGAAAGGAATAGAGTGCTTTGGTCGGCGTGTACACTTGTACACTATAATGTCTCCTGCGCAGTTGGCTAGTGTCAGAGACTGGCCACCGTGGCCGAAATCAGTCAAGAGGATATCAGGTTATTATTTTTTAAATAGTGGCTCACCCTCGCTTCGCTCGGCTTCGCCTCTAGAAATGCACAAACAAATATATCCCACGGGAACCGTTCATTTTTCCGGGATAAAAATTAATCTGTTGTTTGACCGGTAATATAAGGTATCAATCAGGATGCCAATTATTACTAAATTAGGTGTATAAGTTGTTGTGTACTTAGGCTGTATAAGTTACTATAGTTTTTTAACTCTCCCACGGGAACTCTTTAATTTTCTGGAATACAAAGTATCTGAAATGTTGACTGGGGATGTAAGGGGATATATAAAATAATAATGGGGATATAAGGTACCATCATGCAAAATTTCATTTAAATCGGTCCAACAGTTTCGGAGATAAGCCCATACAAACAGACAGAGAAACAAAAAAATTGAAAAATATCTGGATTTGTTCTATTTCTCTTCATACATCCACCTGACTCGGTTTTCTTAGCATTTTTTTCTATGTACAGACATTCGACCTCTATAGTTTTATTAAATGTATAAACGACTTACCTACAACGCGAACGAATTCGCGTGGAAAGACAAGTATTACTATATCTTTTGTACTTATCAATGGAAGTCTCACCAATCCACTTCAAACTAGAATATTTGATATTTTTCATCCTTAAAATGTTCTGATATACTCAGCTAATAGAACCATAAATTATATTATATGATTTAAATAACTTTATATACAGCAGATATATGTACAATTTTGAAGGGCTTACCGCTTTAATAGCCTAGATACTTCATGTTATCATTGGTCTCTGTGTGCAAAAATGTATCGAAACGTTTGCACGTAAGTATTGAGAATCGTTAGAAAACCCAATAAAAATATTTTCAAAATATTACTTCGAATACTTTTTAACTTGTGTCCCGTTGTTAGGGTTCCGTACCCGAAAGGTGCCAGAGGTACCCTATTACTAAGCCTCCCTCCCCTACAGCCGGATTATAGACAGACGGATAGACCGTCTGTCTATCATCGAGCTGTATCTCATGAACCGTAATAGGAAGAGAACTGAAATTTTCACATATTGTGTACTTCTATTGCCGCTATAACAACAAATAATAAAAAAAACCAAGATGGCGAATTTCAAATGGATGCCATGCAAATAAAAAAAACGATTAGTACTTAGTGTTATATCCAAATAATAATAATAATAACCAAACTGCACCTAGGCCATTACAACCATTTATTTCGTATTGTAAACGACTTACTTAGCCCCTGAAGGCCACTCACTGCCTTGCATTTTGACACTGACAATTGCACCAGAAAGGTTGTCATTTCAACGAGTTAAAGTCAATATGTTAAAGAAAGAAAACAAGGTTCGGTAATAATTTCTTAGGGAGATTCTATTTTAATTTTTTAGAAAATATTTTTTTATACTCGTATTGTTACATATAACATCTTGAAAATATAAAAGACTAGCGTTTTACTGCGTCTCTACACGCATAGTTCAATTCTGAAATACTATATATATTTAAAACTATAGCCTATTATATATGTATAGTATAAGCTAACATAGCTTATACATCATAGTAACACATAGTTACTACATCAAAATCCGTTCTGTAGATTTTGCGTGAAATGTAACAAACATCCATCCATCCTCACAAACTTTCGCGTTTATAATATTAGTAGTATGCTAAAGCTGTTTTTTTAACTTAGACTTTTCGTGATATTGCCACTTGCAAAAAGTATATTTAAACTTTAAATGTATGTCATAATTACACATAAAATTTTACAATCGTTACTGAGATCATGTCTGTTTGTTGGTTTGTCCTTTTACGCAGTAAACTATATCGTAAATATAAAGGCGCGGGGGCATGTTGTTAGATCATTAAACTGCTGAAGACGTATTACTAACAATTTATGTTAAAAAATATTAGTAAATTGTATATTCAACAATAATCCGTTTAAAAATATTTTTTTATATCAGTAAGCTTATGTATTTAATTAATATATGTATTTTAATAAATATTCAACATTTTCGAAGTGCATTGATTTGGCAGACTTTACGCGTATTTAGAAAACTGGTTCGGTTCTCTCATATATGCAGGTTTTACTTCGATGTTTTCTTTCACCGTATGCCTTATTGACAATTATTAATAATATATTCTTAAAGTGTAGTCTAGTTGGCTTATATTAATAACAGATTACTTGATATTAAATAAAACTCAACATCTACAACTTCCTGAACATTTCGACTCCAAGCCACTATTCATGGCATCCTCACAAACATAACCGTTAATACCTCAATACTTAATGTAGCGCCTAATTTATAACGCACAAACTGCAGTCTAGAGCACTGATATTTTTATAAATATTCGCATTCAATGTCAGTAGGTATATAAACAAGTTGATATATAATAGATATAAAGAAGAAGATTCATTTTATATAAAACTATCTTTTCGGAATTTTATTTTGATTTTGGTTTTTTGAGACTCCCAAGACCATGATTGATATAAAGCATTCGAAATGTTGGGAACCAAAAATTAAAATAAATCTGCGAAAAAATTCGAAAAATAGTTTTATTTAAAATATTAAATATCCGCGTAAATTTAACAAAGTATCAAGAAGATTCATTCTTTTGTTTTTACAGGTGGAGTTGGATCAGTCAATCTTACACAACTTCATACAATTGCGCTCCGATTACAAGACTAATAAGTTATCAAGCTTTCTCAAGGGACTGTCGTAATATATTGCTGGCACGCTGTATTTATAGATTTAATTATATTATTATCCACATGATATATTGTTATTTTGTATGGAAATATTATTTTTAATGTTATTTATTAAAGTAATTTTTATTTAACTTGTATTTTAATTTACAATTTGTCCTCATTAAATATTTATTGTTCAGTCACGTAAACGATGAACTATCAGTAAAATCTTTGTATATGTAACAGTTATAATTTTGTTGTGTTCAACGTTGTATGTACGAGTATTGCGACACTGTCATGTAAAGTCAAATTTCGCCGAGTGGTCAGGTTTTAATTGCGACTCAAAACCAGCAGTGATCTAGGCCGTATCGGCTCGAATAAAACTGGCCAAGTGTTATCAGTTCACGACATGGCTTCACTACGTCCATTCATAAGTTCTCCCCTCCACGAACATTTGAATGAACTAGCTTGTGTGCGTACGACGCGGGCGCACTTACAGAGGATTCAGTATCGCATGAACTGGCGGCAGATCCGCACTAGCCGCCCGCGCCGCGTCTCTATCATAATAACATGCAAAACGATTCTGTGTAACAAACAATCATTATAAAAGTGCTGTGACGATATCGCTAATCTGGATAATATAAAAATTGAGAGGTGAGACAGTATGTTTATTTTGATTCAAGCCCGACGCCTACGCTCAGAGCTGTCGCGATTTGTGAACGACGAATTTACATGTTATAAATTCATTCATTGGCCAGGGACTATTTGTATTATCGGTACGTGTGATATGAATGAACGATTAGGGCGTTAGAAATTGTGACAAAAGGAGAAGTGAATGAGTCTATGTTATAAACTTATAATCTGTGCTTAGGTCATATGTTTGTTTCTGGCCGAGCGTTATCTAGGTGAGACCGGCCGCGTCCGTTCCATTTCAAGTGGTGTTTTTATCCCGGGCTCAGGTAGAGCCGAGTTTGTCCGCACTCGCAGTCAATGCCTGCTAATAGTATCGCACGCTTTGTAGAGAAAATCCAGACCACACCTACAAGTTAGTTGCGAATTTGTTTACATATTCGCATTTTAAATTCACCGCGAGCTCTACCGGCATTATGTCGCAATCGTTATCGTGAATGTAAGATCTTCATAAAATTTCATATTATGTTTACATAACTTTTCATTTATATAGATTGCAATTGATTTAGACGACATTTTAACGAAATATTAAAACAAATGACGTAATGTAAAATAATTTATTATCAGACATTATAACGTTTACACAATGATTAAATCTATATTAAACAAGATAACACTGATATGCCTCATTCTCGCATATACATAGGTATTTTGACTTCATTGAATATTTTAAAGTCCATCCACCTAAATGTAAATAGGTAAAAATATATTACAATAAGACTAAATACATTAATTCAGTATCTTCTCAATAAAATTTATTTTCTGTTCTATCATATTCTATACCGACTAAAAGGACATTAATATGAACTCATCATAAATTCTCAGAATATTATGATACTGAGTGATTTAAGAGATATAATAAAATAAATGAAATTGACGGCAAATGTGATTAAATAAATGTTATTGATGGCAAATCAAATCATAAATAAAATACAAATCAACAGTCAATAATAATAATTATTTGTTCTTATGTGTACTATGTTAATTGTTTGGAATATAATAATTTTTTTTATAGTTTTTTATAACCGCTGTATATTGTTTTCGTTGAAGTCATCAATGATATGAAGATGCTTGCTTGACTTTATGGTACGAAATACTTATTTATACACGCATCATCGATCTAGTTTTGGCTGCGAAGACGGAAAGCATTTCTATAACCAAACTTAGGATAACTTCTACGTAGGTATATGGTCAATACAAAAAAAAACTGTTTATAACAATCGAACCCCTAATCTTCGATGCAACTAACTAATAACTATTCTAAATTATAGTTTTTTTTTAAATTTAATTATTAACTCAACAAACAAATTATATTTCACAGTCGTATCGTATGAACAGTCCAATTGTTGCAATTTTATATATCCAATCAGTATTATACATAAAATTTTATAATTTAGTTCATGCATAATTCTTATCTGACAATACAATTAAAAATAGGGCTCATTTTTAAATTTAAAAATAATATAATATAATATAAGTATTTATTTTATCATTTCATAATCATTATTTGTAGTGCGATCACTTCACACCTTAACAATTAATTAGGTAGGTACTTATGATTTATGGAGTAGATATAATTACAGACTTCCCCTTAGAAAAAAATTAGAATAACTATATATTAAAATACCTATGACAAAAATTTTGTTGTTTCTATTAATTCATATAGAGATAAAAAATTGGGTATAATAATTTTTATGTACACACAAAGAAACATACCATAGAGTATGTAAGAATAAATGATTGGTGGAAAGAAAATAATAGTTCCGTACAGAAATTTTAGAAATGAACAATTAGTGTCAACTCTTTAGTGACTAACTTTTCGCTATAGGTTATAATAAACTGTTTCAGCCGCATCTCTACTGCGTTAAAATAAAAGTACTTTCACGCGATTTACTTTGTGTGGCAGGCCATCAGAATATAGAGAATCAAATCGGATGATGCACACTATGTAAATTAAAGAGTGTACTTTACTTATTTTAATTATAGACCTCTTGCAAAACCAATAATGTCTAATACCTCTTCTCTCTCTAGCGAAACTCATTCGATTCCCATAATTATTTTGTATGGAAATATTTTGTCTAATATCCAACTCTTAACAAACGTTTTATACATATACAATTGTATTCATTGAAGTTCATATCGAAATCGCGTGTGGTGATATATTATATTATATATATTCAGAATTGTCAATCCTAAATGTAGAGGGGATATCTACTGATATAGTAATAACATACCTACTTATTGTCAATTATTGAGGGAAATAATTTGAGTCATATAGAGTGACTAGCATTGCCCGCGGCTCCGCTCGCATTCAGATGACCAAATACGAAATTCTTAGGTTTTACATATTAGGATACTCTTACAATGCAGTTTTTGTATTTTTTCTCAGAAATTAGATATTTTCCCGCAGTAAAAAGTATCCTATATGTTGATCCGGATAACCAGCTATCATCATACCAAATTTCATCAAAATCCCTCCACTGGTTATTTCCGTGATGCGGTAACAGACAGACAGACAGAAAGATAGACAGACAGACAAAAATTCTAAAAACTATAGATTCGGCCTCTATATCGATAATAATGTCTATTTCAATAAGATTTACCAAAATATTTAATGTACAGATTCGGCTTAGTTATAATTTTATTATATGTACAAATACCATAAACAAATCGACAGAAAGCCTGTTAGAAAGTATTATGTGGTAAATGATAAGCAATGATAAATAATTATCGTGATTTCACAAAGGTGTTAAATTGATAATAATTCATTGTTTTGATGAAAAGAACATGTTTTAAATTAATGTATATGAATTTACAAATCTGTTTAATAGGTAGGTACATATATGTACACTCACTAATATGGCTATCTAATCTAAATCGTTAATTAAATATTTTATGGTGTGATATGTTCTACAAACATAACTCTTGACTTTTGCTGTTAAATAAAGGATTCATTATTATTATACTCAATTAAATTGTTTATTATGTAAACATGTTTCAATTCGATACAATACACAAAAAGTTTGTGAGTTGAAGGTGTGTGTTTGTTCTTCAAACTATACTGTCTTAACGGATTGGAGAGAAATTCGAAATTGATATTATATAATACTTTTTTTTAATCTAAGTACTAACTAATAAGACTGGAGAACTAGAAAAGCATACTTAAAAAGTTATAGATGAATAAGAAATAATACTTTTTTATAATAAACCACGTCATGTATTATATGAATAGAACTTATTATATAAATATGTTAAATGTATTTTCTTTAATATTTAATGTAGAGTAGAAGTCGATGTAGAGAGACAATCGTAGAAGTTCAAGCATTACAAGTTGTTAATTTAAAAAAATATACTCGCTCTTCCAGTTTATTTACCGGATAGGTAATAATGTCACAGCAGTTAACCCTTACAAGTTTAGTTCTTAGATTTCTAACATAAATAACTAGTTTCCGCTTACGATGTCGCTGTCGCTAGATTATGTGCCTATTTCTATGGAAAAAAAACATAATCGAAATCGTTTTAGGCGTTTTAATTCAATACGACACAAATATTTCAAAACCAAAAAAATAAAGTTTACCATCATCAGTTAAAGTAGTAAGACTCAACAAATTGTTACTGTTCGTTAGTGGTTTCCATTGTTCAATAATTAGTACGCTAATTTTTATATACTTCTTAAAGAGCTTATACACTTCCTAGAGAATAAATACTAGCTTTGAGAAAATATAAAATAAGTAATATATTGCATATTAAAGTTAAAAACAAGGGCATCTGCCTTGCTTTCATGCTCACTCCACATAAATATATTGACTTTACAAATTATATATCTTAAAAACGATTATTTTCAGACCAGCGAGTACGTACAAATATTTGCTTTTTGTTAAATAAATTGTAAGATTTATTGTAATTCCGCATTGTGCACTGAAAATATCCATACATATAATAAAATTGTAACTAAGCCGAATCTGTACATTACATATATTTTGGCATATCTTATTGAAATAGACTTTATTATCGATACAGAGGCCGAATCTATAGTTTTTAGAATTTTTGTTTGTCTGTCTGTCTATCTGTCTGTTACCGTATCCTAGGAAGACCACTCGACAGATTTTGATGAAATTTGGTATGATGATAGCTGGTTATCCGGGTCAACATATAGGATACTTTTTACTGCGGAAAAATATCTCTGATAAATCTATACTAAACATTAAAACCTACTTAATAATACCTATACATATTTAACTTTGCTTTGCTTTTTTAATTTGATTTAATATTTGTTCTTTGACAGTTAGTCTAATGTTAAACTGCATTCTTTAAATATAGTTTAGAATATTCAATATGTAAA